CTTGCGTACCAGCTATGTCCGTCCCTCGTTATGATATTGTTTCTCAGGTATGTGTTCTGCAATCCTGACAACAATTGTTAATGTTTATTAATATACAAATATTTTACTTTGATTTCCACCAAACAATGTAATTTCTTTAGAACATGACTCAAACAAAGTTTCACTCCACTACCTCCAACAAAACATTTTTTTTCAGTTTATGACATTGTTCTCAAAACAGAAGGTGAATGTTATGTTTGGCAAATGACTCCAACTTCAGAAGCCTGCCAACCATTTAGTTTGTGCTTAATAACTGAAATGACCCTCATGTAAGGTATTAGCTTTCAACAAAATCAAACAAATATTGCAAATAAGGTTTTTTTTTAGAATAGAATAGAATAAACCTTTTTAACAATGTATTCAAACAAAATGAACCACGTAATGTTTCCTGCCCTCTACCAGCTTCTCTGTGAAAGGCCACTAACCGACTTTAGCTGTGAAGGATTGTGTGTAACACCCACAACCAAAGCTTTCACACTGTTTACAACCAGGAAAAAATACTGTTAGTTTCAATTAAAAAATCTTTAATACAGCACTAATTTTAACACATAATAAACATATAATGATATAAATGGTATTGTATCATCCTGTGTCTCAATATATTGGTTTCATTTTTCTATGGTTTTGTAGTAAACAGCCTCAGTCCTCACTCAGGCACCCAAGTGCATCTCATTAAATCACATACTCAAACATGTTGCATTTAACAGATCATTTGTGGCATACACACACTAGTTAGTAATAATTTAATAAAGTGCAGAGGCAGAATATTCAGGTGTAGAAAATATAAATCCAAACCAAGTTTTTGTTTCAAGAAACCAGGTGACTATAAAGAGTCACAGTTACAGGGAACTCAACTGGTTGGCTTAAACAAAACCTTGGTCTGGATTTTCTGGACCTGAACCATCCACCTCTGGTAAAGTGCAGAGGTATGTGTAAAATGTGGACCTTCATTTTGCTTTAACCACAGAAATATGCAGGCTGTTGTGAAGGAGAGGTGTCTGGATGATAAGGTTGGTCCTGTTGTTCCTCTACGCTGTTACTGATCTCCTTGGTTACCAACAGCAACTAGCAAACCTTGTTCATATTCCCTTTTGCTAGCCTCTATTCTAGTGTCTGGTGCCTTTGACCAAGTTTCTACTCTGTAGAAATCTGGTGTGGTAACCGACCCTGTAAGGTAAGGTAGCTCATCCTGGTTCACACGCCAGCCAGCTCCCCTTATGCTGCATCGTGTGTCTTCCTTGATACTGCTATAGAACAAAGCGGGTCACCATCATGATGATGAATTTTCCCATAGGAAATTGCTCTCATGTTTTGCATGCATTTGATGACTTGCCCTGTGTGTGACCCCCCCCTCCAGGGACATAAGGACTGGGTGATGGATGTGGCAATTGATGCCCGCAAAAAGTGGGTTTCTTCAGCCTCCAAGGTAGATCCTGTGAGCCTCATTTATCGTCAAGACATCTTCATAGGTTTGGCCTTGACCTAAAGGGCTAATGAATTTCTAGAGATATCTTAAAAGAGGAGATAGAAGAGAGAAAGAAAGATTGGGGGAACAATGTAGCCCACAGTTTAACATGTTCTCAGATTTTTTTGTTTCAAAAATGTCATAATCGATAGCTTATTAAAAATTAGTATGTGACTAAAATGTTTAGCATTCTTTAATGTAGAAAATCAAATTTTATTTTCTGGTAAGAAAATGTTTTTTACTTCAAATACATAACAGCACTTACTTTTGAATAGCATGACTGAATTTATAAACAGATATTTCTAGGACGCGATGTTACGGCTGTGAAACACTGAAGATTCAGAGGATTGTCCTGATACTTGGCTATCCGGAGGTGTCCGGAGTATTGGATGCCGAGTAGGATAATGAAGTATACCGCTGTAACTGAGACGCTGAGGTAAAACGAAGACTGCCCAGACCTAAGAAGAGCGTTTGTACGCGCTGTATTTCGTGTCCTAGGGGCGAAGTTTCATGCAGTGTGAGGATTGTGGTAGGACTTATGTGACCCACCTGGAGAACTCAACACCAAATGTGTTTTCTGCTGACACAATGACAAGGCGTCCTCCAGATGTCATCCGCCAGGATCACATTGTCTTAGATTATTGCGTGCATGAATAGTAATGAAGTTTAATAAACGAGCGTGGAAACTTATTCAATATTATTTTCATTCTGTACAACAATGGAAGCGACTACGAGATCGGGAAGTTGACAGTGACTGGCGAAACAAGCAGTTTCAAGCAAATTAGTTACAATATTACCAACACTGAGATAATCGCAATATTTGGGGCGACTATAGAAAATATTTAATTTTTCAATATACGTTAGATGTTGTATTTGCTTGTCATAAAAAGCGTTTTTTTGCGCACTCTTACGCAGCGGCGCCGTGGCTTAGTTGGTTAAAGCGCCTGTCTAGTAAACAGGAGATCCTGGGTTCGAATCCCAGCGGTGCCTTTTTCTCATTTCCATTCTTTAATTTGATGTATAATTTCTTGTTACGTATTTTATTGCAGGTATTGATACAAATGAGTATCAAAAACAACGAGCAAGGTATATATAAACGGGGAAAAAGTAATTCGGTCAAACGTACTATAGCATATTACTAGAGTTGGTTATATATATTGATTTTAGTTGAATTGCTATAAACTGTACTTTTCATTTCCCATAGTTTCATTATCTAATCATTTAACGAAGTTGTAGGCTTCAATAGAAATAGCAGTTAAGCATGCCAGAGATTATTGAGATTAATGCTGAACGTGAGATTGGCGGTCGTGTACATTTTCACCACATGTAATTTTGGATAGGCCCACCTTCTAGATAATTTAATACTGACTTTGCAGTATTATATATATATGTGTGTGTGTGTGTGTGTGTGTGTACATTTTGTTTCTGCACTGGCAGTTTTATGCAAAGTAGCTTAAAAATTTATGGATTTGTACAGTTGGATATTTTTACTGGAGCAAATCATGGTAAATGACTCTCAGGGGTACAACAGCACGACTCCTCCTGGGACCTGAACCAGCAAAATAGGTGCAGATAAAAGTTGTGAGCCTTCTGTGCTTCTGGCCTGAAATAATTAAACACTAAGAGGCGCAGAAGGGTAAAACGGGCCATCCCTCCTTAACCTCTTTTGGTCCTGTGCTTGCTGCTTCTGTAACCACTAAGGACTTCATCAGCGATTTGTGAGCTCAGACTCGGTGCGATCACTGCAAAGTCAAACGAGACTCTGCAGCGAGCTCTAGAGGTCAGGGGGCCTATGAGGTAGATGAGGGTTAGTAATGCCCTATCTGTACTAATTACACGATGCCTGATTAGGGCTATGACTGGATGATTATTACTCTGAGCACGCTCAGAAGGTACAGACGGCTGGGTGACTCAGAAGTGATCTTTGGATTATAACCGCAGATGGTTCTTCATCACAGACCGCAGTGTTTCTCTTCTGTGTTTTTCTCAAGTATTCATATTTAAAATCAGATATCAGAAGCTTTCGATACAACCTTATCCACACCTCATAGGTTACTGAACAAATACTGATGTTTTTCTTTTTAGTCTGTAAAGGGTTTAGTAGTACCCATAAGCCCTGGATCTTTCCGGTGAAGTGTAGCAAAGCCAGCAGACCTCACTGAACGGTAGCCAGTCCTGCCCACCATCCATGTCAGTAACCATCCTGTCTCCACCACACTATGTGCGGTATTAACACCGGGTTATCAGGTATTCACTTACGAAATTTTACAGGTATTTCCACTTTTGAAAATGTTATCTTTTTGCTTCTCCATGTGGTCTGCGGTGGTGGAAATACTGACACATACCCCATCTGTTCTTGTATAGTAATTGTAAATTTCTGTAGCAAGACCATCTCTTCACATGAATATTAAATTGTCAGTCCGACAAAACAAGCATTGTGATCATTTAGGCACATGTATTTGTTTGTTTATCTTTTTATTACAAAATACTGTTTATATCGGTGTATATCATGCATTTTGTCTATTCATATGGAAATAAATTAAATTTCCTCGGGTCTTGTGTTTCCGTTTTGGGGTTAAATAATATGTCTTACCATTGTGGGTTTATTCAGAACTAGTTTGCGTTGCATGTAACAGCAAATTTAAGCGCCAGCCACTCAATAATCAGTAGTCAGGGCACACGTACGCTGTTGTGGAGTTACGTCATAAGTACTGGAGCAAGGACTAATGCGTAGCGTTGGAGATGCCTACGGTAATCAGGACTCTTGTGCTTTTGCGCATTGCGATATTCACAGTTCGTTTCACGAACAGCCAATACTACCGCTTAAAGACTTATACGATTTTAAGTGAAGTAGAAGTTTCGCAGAAAAACTTCAGTATCAGAGTAAATCTCATTCTGAAAATCCATTTTCAAAGTAGCTTCGACTCTTTCGTACATTTCTTATGCCGCCCTCCATCCGTCGGGGGCAGTATTTCTCGCCAATGTTCAGTTGTTCATCTGAAAGGACTGTCTTATTAATATCGAAAATACAGCGACAGTCGTAATATATTTTTTGTAAGCGCGCATTATTAATGAAATAGTGTCCCAGAGTTTCCCGGATCGTGTGCTGGCTCAGTGTATTACTTATTGTAGTTTCAATTGCTTACGCTGTTATGACACGGGAAGTTGTAAAGAAAATTAGGATTCGTGCAGGCAGTGTGTTTTTCCTGCCACCTCTTATTTATCTTTTCCCAAGTTCTCCTTTGGTTGTCTGAAATAAACGGTAAACGAATCCATCAGTTTCGGCTTTCCTGTCTGTGCTGTCCCAGAGAATCGGAATTAAATTAAACATTTGTTCCATTTGTGGAGCCAGATGCGATGTTAGCTGACGGGAATAGGGACCCACTGCAGCGTCGCCCCAAAAGAACCCCCCCCCAACTGAAATAAACATGCATTTCAAAGCTGTGCGAAACAAAAGCGGAAGATCAAACAGCATTGTTGAGATTGGAGGTGTGTGTTTTCCTTCTCTCTCCCGAATCCCACGTCACTGGGGATCATACAGATATATGCATTAATTTAAAGAGGCTTCAAGCACAGACCACGGAGGAAAACATTAGTCACCAGTTGGACTGGACGGCAGTGGCGTGCATCCTTCTCCGTCGCGCATCAAGCCGCCGGCATGGGCTGCGGGCGCTGCACGCCTCCGTACAGCTCAGATCCCCCTTTCTCCGCCTCGGTGCTGCTTGTGAGCAGGACAGAAGCTCAGGGTGAATCGGAGCCTGTGTGCTCCGCAGGGCACTCGGGATGATTGCGGTGCATGTCGATGGAGCGTTTTCCGCGATGGCAAAAAGAATCGCCTAGGCTTTTTTGAACGATGGAATGGAAGGGGACGCCGGGGCTGCTTTTGGTGAAATGGATGTGTGTCCGATTCACCGTGGTTTGTGTCGGTAGGTGTTTAAGGGTGTGCTGCTTTTCCCCCGTTTGCATATAGGATCCAAGGCGTCTCTGCTAAAGGAAGGAAGCCGTTCAGTCATTTTCTTGCTGCATTTTTCTTTTAAGAAGAAGCTAATTAAGCGTTCCTTAACGTTAAATTTTGCCTTTTGATAGGTGGAAAAGTCAATACGACCAGGCATTGTTGCATTTGTTTTCCATAAACGTAATGTAATGCTGCTTGTTGCAGATTCACCTGCATAACAGCTGCGGGTTACAGAGGCGGTAATGTAATGTACTGGATAATGTTGGGGTTAATTGAGTTTCAACATGCAAATCGATTGCAGAATTTTAAGTTTTATTATAATTATTAAACAAAACACCCCTTATCTTTCTCAAGTTTACCTAATTGTGTGCAATAATAAAGAATTTGGGTGCGCTGCAATTTAATGCGTGGCTTCCCTGTTTTGCTGAGTATTTTTATGGGCGGCAGTTTAAATGATTTTAGCGTGTGGACTGCAGATGGGAATCAGAGCTGACGGCGTGACCGTGTCTTCGTCCCGGGATGCGATTTGCTTTGCGCTGCTTTGTCTGCGGCGCCCGGGGCTCGCGGGGTCCCGTCACTCTCCGTAATGCTGCTGCGTCCCACCCGCCGCCGCCCGGCGACATTGCGCCTGCTTACCGCCTGACACTTGGCTTCGGTACTTGTTGTTGTTGTTTTCTGCATCCGCAGAAGGTGACTGGATATGTATTTGGCAGTTTCAGTTTAACGGGTATTGTTTAGGCAAGTTGTTAAGCAAATATTGGCAGTGTGAATTCTGTAAGGCAACACCATTTGACACCGATATTTTAAAATCCTAGAATGGCATTAAAACACACTCAGTGTTAGGCCTAAATTAATATCAGCAGGAATAGGAGTGAAGACCGTACGCATATAGGTTTGAGTACATCAGGATAATCTAGGGGGACCCGAGCTGGTTAGACGCTCCCCCGTGGCGTGTGTCCCATCCCATAAAGAGGGGACCTTCGTCCCTTTCAGGGTACACTGTGAATGTTTTTTCAGTGTTTCAAATCCAAGATATACTCAACATTGACAAAAAGGCTTAAATCAATTAATGTGAGCGCCTCTTCCCTTACTTAAGGACGAATGTGAAGTTTCCGGGTTGCTAATGTAGAAATTCACGGTCAAACCGTGGACTTTGAGTTCACTTAGAAGTCACTAAAATAACTGTACCCCCCATTGAGTACTGAGTAATAATTGCACCGTGAAAGAAAATAGCGCAATGAAATTATTATTAGGGTATCTATGCTTCTTGCTTTGAGTTATTTCTTTATTTTTTCAGTGATTGAAAGGACTTTACGATGCTCCGGCTTTTCCACTTTCGACATGCTGTTAGTATTTAGATGGAAGATGAGGTTTTTAAAATATAAACAAATGGGTTCTGGAAGTGATATGTGGATTTATTTGCTGTTGTTAAATGTCCCCAGGTAATTGAGCTTATTGTAGCAGTGCATCAGTACACGTTCTTAAACCACGACCAAGCTGTGAAACGAGCGTTTGTTTTCTTGAAAATTACTGACGCTCAGTAAATAAAGAAGATTGTTTCAGCGAAGATTCATAACATTAAGAACAACTAGGGGAAAAATGTATCACTTTACAATAAGGCCCCCTTTTGCATCTTATAAATTGAGGAATTCATTAATAAAAAGAGAACTATGTTATAGCGTGTTTATAATTATCTACTAATGATTTACAAAATGTAACAACCTAATAACCTGATTATAAACCATTTATAAACCCTTTATAAGGGCAGTCTTATTGTAAAGTGTTACTGGAAAAAATATATTCGATACTCTGCAAAACATGTGTGTGTTTCTAACACACTCAACACATTTCACATCAATTTAGATCAGAAAGAACACTCATCTGTTGTTTTTCAAAATCCGCTGTTATGGGAGAGTGAGACAGATGGTGGCACAAGCATTTAAACGCGGACATAACTGGGATTTGTGAGTTATATATAGGATGACTGAGGTCCCACACCCAATGAAGTCAATGAAGCGGCAAAAACTGGCAAATACCTGGTGCTTTGTCTCCAGTGACCAGTAAAAATGAACCAGTGCCCTCTATATGTTCTATATATAACGGCCATATGTAAGCCAGTGGAATGGTGTGACTGTAAAGAGCAGAGGAAGCAGGCGGACACCCAGGCATGTAGAAGGGAGAATTCCCAGTTGCTGTGTGGACACCCGCTGAAATTCGCACTTCTTCCATTTTTTCCTTGTTACCATTGCTGTTCCCTTCTTCTGGAAAGTCCTTGAAGGACCAGAAGAGTAATGAGGTACAGCTAAAGCATACTGTCAATACTGCAGGGAAAGAACACGCTGGTTGCTGTGCCAACAGTGCCCCATGGTGTCGTATACGAGCTGATTGCATTTCAGAAGTTACTCTCTATCTTATTGGTATTACTACTGAGCAGGTGACTGCCACGACCTCTGTGTCCAAAGAAACATAGTTTTACTAGAGCTGTTCTGGTTATGTGTCAGTAGTCAGTAGTAGAACATCAAAGATGCACGTCTTTAACTGCACAGCTCATGCTGCTTCTCATCTTCTAGCTCTCAAATGCCACCAGTGCATGTCCAGGTGCCTCCGGTGGCTGCTAGCTGGCCGAGCTGCATTCGGGGCCTTTCCCCCTCGCTTCCCATGTTTCTGCCTCTGTTCCTCCCTTGGTCATTGAGGTCGACATCCCGCGTGTCTATTTCTGCACTCGCGATTAGACGTCTGTTAACAGGCTGAAAAATCGTTAGATAGAAGTGCACCAGAGAGCTGACCCTGCTATCCTTCAGGTCTGATGAGATCTCTCACCTTGATGTGATGGTGGTGTGCGGTGTGGGTGGTGGGGGGCAGGATGCAGTTCATAGTGTGAGCGCTTCAGCTTTTGTTTTGTGCAGTATTGGTGGCCAAGACATTTTTACCCCCAAAAATGTCAGTCATCTTTATTATTGTGCACATGCATAATAGAATGAGGTCATTGGTATAAAAAAGTTCAAATTGAGCATGCTGCATTGTAGGTTAGTTAACCTGCTCCGATGGTACTACAGAAGACCCTCTTCTGAACAGGACACAAGTCCTTGTTTTCTTCTACTGCTGCCCTACCGAAGTGATAAAACACTTGAATTGTGTGTCTATGGACTGTTAAAGGCCAGGTCGTTAAAGCCTGTTGTTATGAAGACGGAAGCAAAGAGCACCATCCGTCTTCGGAGCATGTCCAGCTGCAGCGGTTTTTGAAACCAGTGGAGAACATAGATGCCTCTTCTGGGTGGTGTGGGTTGTGACTTCATGCTGGGGAGGTTTGATTTTTTGCATATCAAGTAATGTTGCTAGAGCAATGGCGCATGAGATGTTGCCTCAGAATTGTCTGGCTCAGCGGGCTAAGCCTCTGAGCCTGTGATCAGAAAGTCGCTGGTTCGAGCCTGACCTTAGCAGACTAAGCCTCTGAGCCTGTGATCAGAAAGTCGCTGGTTCGAGCCTGACCTTGGTGGAATAGTCACGTCTATGGGTCCTTGAGCAAGACCCTTGACCCTCAGCTCCATAGATGCCACTGCAGGTGGCTGCCCTTCACTGCCAGGCTTACTCTCACATACTTGAGTGTCTGAGTGTCAGAGAGAGCAAGCTGGGGTAGGTAAGGAGATTCTCTCTACTGGGATCAACAAACTCATTAAATAAAAGCTCAGGAAAGTCTTAGCAGAGATCTTGACTGTTGTGGGATTTTGGGGTTATTTTCTTATATTGCTGCTTGTTCTATTACTTTGTAACATGGAAATCCTAGCTTGTGTGGCCTCCTGTAATATTAGACTCCGTATCACACAAGTTGGGAGAAGGTTAAGAAGGAGGTTTGTAACAGTGTCTATGGCACCAGAGAACATCATCTGGAAATAAACTCCTTCCTCCCAAAGTGTCTCAGGTCTGGTTCATTGCTTTAAGGGTGTAGCAGCGGAATCTAACACGGTACAAAATTTCTGTCCATCATCGTGAAGTTGTCAGCCGTCCCCTTTCTTTAAAGTGCCAAGTAAAACAGGCAAAATGAAACAATTAATGTAGCATTAATTAGCCTAGATTTGCACTAATGCATGACTTATTGACAGTAAAGGTGCAGCTGTAAAACCAACAGTTATTAGTAAGAGGAGCTTCTGCGCTCAATGTAAGGGCAGTCAGACTTGCTAGCCGGTCTTATACAGTCAGTGACATTTTAGTCATTTGACGGCACATTAGCCTGCACTAGCTTTAGCTCGCTCCTTTGTTCTGTCTGTACATGAGTCCATGACACCATCACCGGTGTCAGGAAGGCACCAGACGACACATGGTGTAATGTAACTTTTTCTTTTGGTCCACTTGCTATTTTACTCTTATAGGAGTATGAACATGAAAACTGAAAGGAGATGTAAAATGCTTTCTATCTTGAAACATAAATATTGCCGCCGGCTCTTAGCGATTCTTCCATATAATTTGCCAGTGCTTCGGTGTGCTTCAGAGCCATAAAATTAACTTTGTTACTCCAAGGCTCATTGTTGTTACTGGCACATTGTGTAATATTGGAGTATTTTGTGTTCTAAAGCAGTGCTTCCCAATCTGGTTCTCGGGGACCCACAGCCGCTCCATGTTTTTGCTTCCTCCCTGGGAGGAAGCAAAAATGTGGACTGTTTGTGGGGCCTCGAGGACCGGTTTGGGAAACACTATGCCAGAGTATTCTTCATCTGGAATAGATTTTTCAGTACACAGTTCCCTGCTTAATGAGCCTTTTGTCTCTTTCAAAGCCCCTACCTTCATTTTTTACCTTCATTTAAATTTCAGATGTAAAGTGAGAGCCTAGCTATCCTGTACCAGTTTAATGGTGGGTGGTGTCTGAGTGTGTAACGCTGACGTGCTGCATTCCTCTACCTGCTGCCTGCCCTCTTCAGACGCTCTGGTGTGAGGAAATCGGTCTGAGGTTATGGCCCCAACCAGATGCTTGTCATTGGGTAGCTGGAGTTGGGGGGGGGGGGCATTCAGCCACCCCACCCGTTTAGCTGAAGGCTGTATCCTCACCAGCAGGGCGCTGAGCTGTTGCCCCTGCGGGCCGTGCTGCTGTGTGTCGTCCCCTGGCCGTGCTTTTGACGTCTCACCCCAGGGTGTGTGGAGAGCTTTCATGGCATGGGAGCTGCATGTCTGCAACAGATGCAAGGGGTGAACAAATGCTTTGGAGGTCAGAGCCCTGGGGCACTGGGGTGACCTGCAGTCAATGGGTCACAGGCTACTGATTAGCCTACAGGCTTGTGGCTTGCCTGTCCCCGAGCTGCTTGATGGGCTGTTCCATGCTGCTGACAGCCAATAGGAAGGCGTCTAACCCTGAAATGATTCTCTGACTGATTCAGGTACGTCCATCAGGTTTTCCTTAGGTTTGAACCCACAATAGTTGCCTAACAAGCCCAGCTCTTTAACATCTGAGCAACCACCTGTTGCCTCTTGTGTTCTGTTGAGAATGAACTGAAAACCCGCTGCCTGGCTCTTACTTGGCTCTAGAGGACATTTGTCTCTGATTGGACGCAGGTATAGCTAGGCTTGGATGATACGTAATTTTTCATACCGTCATTCCATTTAGATATTATACCGCAGTATCTGGTTTTCGACGGTATTTTCAGAGCAACGCTATTGCAGAATTTTGAAATCTTGGGGATTCAAATTCTCTGTCGTGGTCGGGGGACCATATATTTTGCTAAAAAGGAAATGTAACTTTGTCACCGAGATTTCAAAATAGCACGGTATACGCAAAACAGCTTTTCAGGACAGACATGGGTTTGGAGAGGCAGGGCTGAAACATTGAGTTTTTCTGACTTGAAGCGTGTCTTTATAACAGCACTTAGGTGATGGAGATGCTTGTTTGCAGGGAACGCTGTGCCCTTGTCAGCCTCGTAATGATATATTGGCGGCCTTTCTCTCTGTGGCCAGCCTGCCCCCCCCCCCCCCATGGGCAATAGCTCCTGCTGACAGCAGCCAACAGATAGGGATCTGAGATTTATAGCGGCACATAATCAGAGGAGAAAGTTTTCAGCTGGAGAAGATACGAGATTCACGGACCGCTAGACTGAAGCCCAGCTGAACAGGAAGCAAAAACGTTATAAAATGAATGAATTCAGATGATGCAGAATTGTGGAAATTCCCGAAATTCCTTAAACATGCAAATGCATTGGGTGACAGTCCTACTGGGGCTGGACCGCACACCAGTTAACATGCATGACATCGGTTGCCACACTACCAAAAAGATGAGAAAAATTTGAAAACACAGTGATTCTGGGGATTACGACCCCATGACAGTACAGCTTGTTTTACAGGCTTCCTGTGTATTTGAGTCCTTGTTCAGCTGTGTTACTGTGTATAGGTACTTGCTTTTCTAACCTTGTGGATATTTTTGGTAAAATCATAAATCCCCTGAAATATCCAGACCATTCCTCATGAGGTATAATACCTATTTCAAAAATATCTTGCCAAAAATATTATTATTATTTGTGTGACGTAGTAATTAATTCCTGTGCTCGAATGACAGGATAAGTTTGTGACTGTATCTCTGTTCCCCCCCCCCCCCCCCACACACACACACACACACACACAGCAGCCTGCAGTGGGAAGGTGGAGCTGCACACAGAGAGGAGAGGAGTGATCTACAGCCCCTCCTGGCCACTCAACTACCCCCCAGGTGTCAACTGCAGCTGGAACATCCAGGGGGACAAGGGAGACGTAATCACCATCAGGTAATGGGCCATCCGCTCACCTGCCAGCGATCTCTCTCACACATACACACACACACACACACACACACACACACACACTTGTATTCATATCTTTGTGGGGACCTTCCATTAATTTCTGTGGGAAAAACCCTAATCCCAACAATGTCGACCTTAACCCCTACCCAGCCTTGACCTTAACTAGAAGTAACCAACAAAATACAAGACTTTTGGCATTTTTAGTTTTTCTGAATGCAGTCATGGATTTTTTATAAAATTGAGTTTCCCCTGCTGGGAACTGAAAAAATGGTCCCCACAATGTCAGAATAACAGGTTTTTATCACGTTGAGGGGGCATTTGTTCACCACAGTGCAATGCATACATGTGAAACACACACTCACTTACACACACACACAATCTGCCCTTTACATTTCAGAGTGGGCTTCCAGCATTTGAGCTCGACAAATTCACTTCTCCTTTTATGAAAACGTGTGTGTGTGTTTTGCGTGTGTGTGTATGTTTTGCGTGTGTGTGTATGTTTTGTGTGTGTGTGTATGTTTTGTGTGTGTGTCTGTGTGTCTGTCTGTGTGTATGTGTGTCTGTGTGTTTGTGCTGCATGTCATTCACAACACTGCTTTCTCCTATGTTGGCTGTCTGTTCTGTGGTATCAGCGTTACACCCACAGCCGCAGTGACCAGTCTGAGCTCGCTGTAATCGAGTCTGCTTGAAAACAGAGGAGCGAACATCCTGTCAGCCGAGCCGGGAGTTCCGGATCCCACGGAAATCCTCCTTATTCAGTTACGGGTCCGTCACTGAAGCTCCGAATCAAGTTTTCGAATCAAAGCAGAGATGATTTTTGGTGCGCACAAGACATACCCACCGTTCAGAACATTCGTCTGAAGTTATATGTTTATGGTAATTGAACGTTTAAATTGAATATTAAATTGGGCTGCAGCTATTTGTAGTCTGCTGAGGAAATGAAGCTCTGAACATTACATCTGAGAAATTCAGCTTCTGGGGACTATGGCTGACTGTGGTGCTTCTATCTGCTCAAGGGAAAAACCCTAATGAATTCTGCTACTGGGTTGTGCGTTGACCTCTTTAAAAGGTGCATTGGATTTGGGTTTAGGATTTTGTGTCCCTGCAGACATAATATTTTTCTTTTAACAGTATCCATGTGTTTTTTTTTTGTTCTCGGGTATTGGCCTATTGGGGTGCCGAGAGCTCAATTCTGGGCAAGATATTTGTTTAGGATTCGTTTTAATGATGTTCCTTAATTGTTGAATTGGCTTACTCATTAAAAAAAAAAATTGCGTGCTTTTTTTTCCCCTCTTGAATGCACAGCAGGAAATTCAGTCTCAGCACTGTGTTTTGGGTGGGAGCATCCTCCATTGTAAGTGGTGCAGATGAGGAACTAGAAGCTCCAACAAAGATCTTGGGAAAGTGCAGCCGTAAGACCCACGACTTGCCCACAGATGTCCGACTCGCCCCGCTCTTCACGCTTTTCGCCGCTATCCCCCAATGCGCCTCGACAGCTCGGCTGCTCTTATTACTAAGGACTCCCCCCTTTTTATTGTGCTGGCTTCACGCACCAGAAAAGCTGAACCCCTGAGCTCATTTGCCCCCCTCCTGTGTTGCATAATAAGCCGTATGCGAGTGGGGGTGCGGTTCTCTCCAGTGTGTGCTTGTGAATGTTTTTAATGGTGTCTGTCTGGGCTCTTAGGTGTTTGGAGGGGGGGGGAGGGTTGAGGACGCTCACTCCTGATTGGTTTCCTTGGTTTCCATGATCAGGTCATACCTAATCCTTTGCTTATCCAAACATATCTTCCGTGACTCTTTTCTCGTGATGCTCCCCCCCCCGCTTCAAAAATAACATTGGACCGTCCTGCAGCCGGACCCCGTCAGCTCTGGTCCTCAGAGTCTCTGTCCAGCAGGTCCACTGCTGCGTTTTAATTAGCACCCCATTTGCACTAGAGGTACCAGGTGTGGAGGCTCACTATTCATGTGATGACTTTAATTAAGCAATCTTGAGCTGCGGAAGACCACCAGGCTCACTGGACCCGCACTGGGATGTGAAAAATTAGCATTGCTTTCATCAGTCCCCCACCGGCGCCAGCTGAAATAAATGTAAATATTCAAAGATATTATTTCAGTAATGTTAGTGCATCTTTATGGAAGGAATTAAAATAGAGCAAGCAGGATCGATGCAGGAAGTGGACATTGTTATGCCAGGGAGGTAGCCAATGGTGACATCATGTCCAGTGGCCGAGCTCCAGTGTGTTAATTATGGGATATATATGTTACTCCGGTGCAATTAAGGGATATCTATAGTATTACAGCACCCAAATGATGCCGCTCTGTGCTAAGTAGCTTAGACTCCCAGGCCGTGGATTTATGGTGATCAATAATGGGTGGGGTGGGGTGGGGGGGCGTTAAGCGCGAGGAGGCGGAGCCCCGTTCACCTCCCCTTCCAGATTGCTGACCTTTTAAGCAGTGTGAGCTTAACAGACAGGCATGCAGCTCAGCTAGATAGTTTGGGGAGGGGGGTGTTGGCCAAGA